ATTTTTATGCAGGGTTACAGTTGAACATTCAAATAATAACCCTCAAAAGCAACAATAACAATTGCTAATATGAGACATGGCCAAATGGGGAATAGTCCTACAGACGATAAAGAATTTATAAAAAGTCGGACAAGAAAACAATGAAGTCTTGTAACTTTTGTTAAAAGAAAATTCATATATATTGCAATTGAAACAAACTCGAATTAGTACTAAAGTGAGGAAGGTATTGTGAAAAGCTTATAATCATCCCATGATGCAAACAAAGGTGTACCATCCTTTTTTTAAAAATCAATTTAGTATATCATTCTTTAATTAACACTTTAAAAAAGAATATGTAATTTTTATGATTTCTTTTGTGATAAACGTTCAATTCATTGAGCAAGAGGAAAAAATTTGTCGCTCTTATATTCGTTGCAAGTGTATTACCTCCTTTTGTCAGTTTTATTAGAGAGATTATATAATAAGCACTAAGATTTCATTTGTGCTATACTTGATTGTTCAGTGTATACTTCCTCAAATGATCATGATATGATAGTGACTTAATTAATTCTCAAAGTCAAAATTTTAGTTGTCTTTCAAGTGGTTGTTTCCATTTCAAGTGTATGTTTCAATTAGTTCAAACTATAGATATCTTTTACCAAGTCTATCGTATAGAAGATAATTAAACCTCAATTTTTTATTTATCATTTTACTTAAAACTTATATGTTCTATCTCCACTTTATTATCAAAATGATAAATTTCATAAATTTAAATGTCTGTTATAATCGCGCTAAGCGCGAGTATATTAACTAGTTAATTACTAAAGTAGAGGCATAATGGTTTTACCACATGGATTAGAAGCAAAAAAAATTACCTGTAATTATAAAACAAAAAAGGTTTGGAATGATAATACTGTGTTTCCACACGGATCAAATAAATGCAATATATATAGAATATGTACAGTTACTCTTTGACTACGAGCTAACAAACGCAAAATAGTAAGGTATTGGATTAATTAATAGGGAGTGGGAAAACATACCATATCTTCTATTCAGATATCGTGAGATACCAGCTTGCGCTATGCCCATCACTACATCATTAATTGTCTACAAAAACCACAATAGTATAATCAGAGAAAAAAAATGAACATGTGAAATACAAAAAGGAAAGAAGAAAAATGTATAACTATATGCATTATTAACAGGAATTAAAAGAAAAAAAACATTAGAATTGTGGTTTAAGGAAAATTTCAAATCCAAACTAGGCCAAGTACAGCAGCATTGATGATTGACAGGAGGTAAAAGATAACAGTGGGAGCTATTAATGAGGATTGTGGAATTCTGTTGCCACAAACGTGGAAGGTAAAAACTATCGACTGGTCTTCCACCCTATTGAAAAGGAGCAACTACATTGGACGTACAGAATTTAATGGAACTAAAATAAAGCATAAATTCTAGTAGATTCCTATGTCTATGTTCACGTGAACCTATTTTATTTTTTGGTCCGTAAAAAAAAAATGACTTATTTTTAAATTTAGAAACAATTTAGCTTAAACTTACAATTTTGTCTTTGATAAGAAGTTTTTATAATCACACAAATATTCTGAACCCCTTTTTGACTTGTTTAGGACCACAACTTTCAAAAGTCTTCATTTTTCTAAATTTCGTACCCAATCGAATGCGTTCACATAAATTTGAACGGAGGGAGTATGAGGAGAGTACTAGCGTTCCCCAAGATAAATTAGGTATATGATCCATCTCTCTATATACATGACTTAAATACGCTTACCGTACAGAATTTTTATAATTTAATGTACTTTACACATAGCATGTAACTTGTTCTATTTTTTAGTTTACCAATTCCACTTTGTTATGAGTGGTTATGTATAATTATCTCTTAAATGACATGATATTCATCATATAAAAATAAGTTAACTCATATACAAAAGAAGACAAGAAGTAAGAACGAAATAAAGAGTTTTTAAAGTAATTGTAATCCCAAATATACTATGATATTCCTTGTATATAAATTATATCATTAATGATAAAACAGAAAATTTAATATTTAAATTATCTTTAAATATATAAAGATATCATTCTTCTGTGAACATACTGAAAATGAAATATATGAAAGTTAAAAAAAAAAAAAAATAGTATGCGGCCTTACCAAGTTCAAGGCATTCTTGACTATTTTCATGTCGTCAAGGCTAGTAGTCCTGTGCACAAGTCTCTTAGGATTATGCTCAACCCCTGCTCCTCCTTTTATCGGAGTGTTTGTATCCTTAAGAAACAAAACGGTTGCGAAAAACATAATAGCATCCACCAATGTATTCCAAAATACCATCAACAAAAACCAAACAGAAAAACAAAACCGCCTACAAAATCCAGCCTCGTCAGAACATTCCTTTTTAGAACTTGTAGGTATAGTAGGCAATGCTTCTGAATCTGAAGCTTTTCGAGTACATGCTAAGATTAATGAAATAATGGACATGCCATCCCCAATAGAATGGTGCAATTTCAGAATCCCTGTGGCTTCTGCTTCAGATGTCTTCACATTCAAAATATGTACTTCCCAAAGTGGCTTTGTCATGTCCATGGGTATTGTTGTTAGACTTGACGTGTAGTTTTCTATGAATTCATCTGGTGAATCCATATCCGGGTCTAAATCTGGACATACCATATGGTTTCCCACATTTACCGTTGTTTGCTTCCACTTCCTTACACCTTTCTTTTCATCCACCACCTTTATTAATTTTGGCAAACGAAAGTATTAAAAAATGGACAATTATTGGAGCATAGAGAATGTTTCGCTATAAAATGTGAAGAATAGCATAGGAATTTAGCTCATTGCACTAACAACAATAATAACGACATACCCATTATAATCCCATATAGTGGGATTTGAGTAGGATAGTATATATACAGACCTTACCCCTACCTTGTGGAGGTAGAGACACTATTTCCAATAAACCTTCAACTCGAGGAAAGCATAAGTACAACCTTAGTGAACAAGAGGTACGGTAGAAGCCATACAAAAGAAACCATAGTGTCAAGCCATGCATTGACAGTAATAAACTAACATGTTGCAACAGGTAACTTGTACAGTCACTTTTTATAGACGTGTTACAATTTTGGTGATCTAATAGGCGTGTAAAGTTAAACTCAAGACGAAAACTGTACAACAAAGCATACCGGTATACTGGTGAAGCGAGGGTGGTTGAGAAGAGTGGACTCGAGGCCCTTCTTGATGAGATCGACATTGATCTTTGTAGTGCAACCTAAGATGGCAATAATGTGACAACTGAGGGATTTAGTATGGAACAAGCGTGTAGCTGGGCTTGCTGGCTCAAATTGCACTTGCTCTTTTTGCTCCTCTTCTACCACCACCACCGTGCTGTTTTTTTGGCCATTAGTCATGCCCAATTTACAAGGTTCTATATTGGTCTTTGTATCAATAGGTTTGAGACCAAGGCTCCCCATTGGTTTGGTGCTAAGTTGTCACTACACTGAAGCACAATTGTAAGCTAAATAAGCTTGTAAGCGAAATGGCAATGACAGACTACACACGAGAACACCTTAAATTGTGCAAGACAAGATAGGTCTAACTTACAGTACTAAAGTCTTACTTATTATATCTATACATTAAAGATACTGGTCAGATGTACGAGCAGTTGAGCACATGATCTGAAATAATTTCCAGTGAAGTAGGTAATAATTGGTATTTCTTCCATTCCAATTTATGTGACAACGATTCCTTTTTTTAATTAGTTCGTTTAAGTTGTTATTTACTTCAGTGAAGCACAATTGTAAGCTGAATAGCTAAGCTTGTAAGTGAAACTAAAGGATGCCTTAACGAGAATAGTATCTTTATTGGTGTACAATCTTTATAAAAATGGGCCTACACACGAGAATATCTTAAATAGGTAATAGTTTCATGTGGCACCCAATTTTGTGCTAATTATTGAATTTGTATCCATTTTTCTTAAAAAAAGTTTAACTTATATCCAAATTTTGGACAACTTCAGGAACATGCAATTTTCTCTTCTTCTTTAGCATTGTTTTCTTCTTCTTTGTGCTTAGAGTTTCTTCTTCTTCTTAGTTGCAAAATAGGTTTGTTAAACTTATTGTTGTTTTGACAATATGATGACTGGAATTTGTTCTTTATGATATTTAAAAGCTATGTTGAGCTCATTTGGATAATGAATCGTGTATTGGATTGTTGAAATTCCAAGAATAAGTCAGAACTTAAGACTCAAAATCTGAAATTGCATTCAATAAATTGAACTACTTAATATTCAAAAAAATTGAAATTGCATTTGAAAAATAGATGAATTTCAGATTTTATTTCTCAAGTTGCATCGAAAAAATTGAACTAACCTAGCAAAAATAGCCGAGATGGACCCTAATAGTCTTACACTATCTATTAAATTAAAGATGCTTGTCAGAATTGCTACGAGCAGTAGATAATGCATATGATGTTATGTACTAGTAGAATTTTTGCAACAAAGAAAATACTCCACTAATTAAAACAAAGCTACACGTTGGGACGTGGTTCCTCCATTAAATAATGCATAAACAGCGAAACTTACTTGAATTGAAAGAGACATTATTGACCTTACTAGTACTATGTATACGGGTAAACTCGGGGACAATGCCTATCTCGATTTTTCGATAAAGAAGACGGAAGAAGGGTACGAATGCACGAGATTGAAATCGAGGTTGGGAGCCTTTCGTACCGAGACCCATGAAAGGTGAACGATGTGCTCATTGTGTTAACAACAGTAATGGAGGTGAAATCACACAAATCTGATCTAGGGTTTAAGAGTGAGAGAAGAGAGCTTTTGATATTATGTGAACTGTAAAGAATGAAAAATAATCCGTCCCTTTACAAATGAGGAGCCCAAGTTATATATATACATGACCCGACTCCCTTCTAACCCAACTCAGATAATAATTATAAAGGAAGGAAAATGGGCCTAGCCCAATATAAATAAAAACAAAACAAAAATGTGAGCCTAATACTAATCAGGAGTGGGTGGTATATCTCTAACACCCCCTTCCCCCAAGTTGGAGGGTGATAAAACTCCCAACTTGGAAAGAAAACCATGATGAGCAGCACCACCCAAAGACTTAGTGAAAATATCAGTCAACTGAGAAGAAGAAGAGGTATGCAGCAGATGAATAAGACCTTCAGCAAGCTTGGCCCGCACCAAATGGAAATCAAGTTCAATATGTTTTGTTCGGTCATAAAAAACTAGATTCTTAGCAATGTGGATAGCAGCCTGAGAATCCCAAAACAAAGGAATAAGTGAAGAATGCAAACCCAAATAAGAGAGCAAATGGGATAGCCATGCCAACTCAGCCACAACTTTTCTCATGGCCCTGTATTCAGCTTTAGAAGAAGACACGGAAACAACAGGTTGCTTCTTAGACTTCCAAACCACAAGACTGCCACCCAAAAACACACAATAGCCACTCATTGACCTCTTAGTGTTAATACAAGCAACCCAATCACTATCACAACAAATAGTTAGAGACAAATAAGAGGAATTGTTGAAGAAAATCCCACAATCAGAGGTACCCTTCAGGTATCTGAGCACATGGAGAGCAGCTTGCATATGGGGAAGACAAGGGGATTGCAAGAACTGACTAAGGTGTTGAACAACAAAACAAATATCAGGTCGAGTGTGAGTAAGAAAATTCAACTTCCCAATAAGAGATCTGTACACATCAGGCTTGGGTAAGGGATCACCTTCATGAGCTTTAAGCTTAGCAAACAACTCAAGAGGACAAAGAACAAGAGAAACATCTGAACAATGAAAATCATCCAATAGATCAAGTATAAACTTCCTCTGATGAAGGAAAACCCCAGAATCTGAATAATGAACCTCAATACCCAGAAAATAGTTAAGGCACCCCAAATCCTTAATCTTGAACTGATCATGGAGAAAGGATTTAACACTAGAAATTTCAGAAGAATCAGCCCCAGTGATCATTGTAAGCACGTGATTTTTGCCCTATATGAGAAATACTCCCAAAAAATTGCAAAATAAAATGATTTTCCTTGGTGTGCAATTTTGTGTATTTTTGTGATATTTTTGGATAATTATTTGTATTTGTCTGTGTTTGCTTATTTGTTAAATTAATAAAAAATACAAAAATATGTCGCATTTTGCATGTAGGATTTAATTCTACAATTGTTAGTAATTAAATTAGTTTTACAAAAATTAAAATTACAAAAATAGGCATCTTTTGCATTTTTAGCATTTAATATCCAAATAAACAATTTTGTGCTTAATTATTACTTAATTATGCGTTAATTGTTATTGGGAGTTAATTTGCACTTTTATAACTTAGTTTAATTCTAAATAATAATTTAAGTATTTTTATAATTTAGTTTTAGAAAATAAAAGAAGAAAAGATTACAAAAATACAAATAAAAATCGGATTGGGCCATTTCTTCAAATTTCAACCTCAGGCCCAAATAATTGCCCAATCTTCCCCATGACCCAGTCCACTTCAGACTGGGTCGACCCGGTCTGCCCCATTAACCCAAATGCCCAACACTCATTCTTCATTTGTCAAAAACACAAAACAAAACAAAAAAATAAAAAAAAAAAACAAAAACCAAAAACCCTAAAACTAAGAAAACATCCGCCCCTCACACCCATTTTGCTCTTTATTCTCCAAAAGCTCAAAGACCCCATCCATGGCTGACCCTTTTGTTGCTGCTTCGTCTCCAAACGACCACCATCCACGTCGACCTCCCCATCTACTTCGCCGCTGCGTCGCCGGAAAACCCTCGGCCAAAATGGAAGGAAAACCCAATTGCTGCTTGTTTCATCTCCTTCCTCGACGAGCAGCTGCGACCCTTCTGCTTCTTATTGCTTCTGCTTCACCTTCCCCATCCGAACGACCTCCATTACTGCTTCGTCTTCGACTGCGAACAGCTCGAACAACCACGGCTTGTTTCTCGAGCTGCTGCCCCACTGCGTCGTCTGCTCCGAGCTGCTGCTGTTTCACTCCGTCTTCTTCCTCAACGGACT